GTAATAATAATAGTAATAATAATAGTAATAATAATAATAGTAATAATAATAGTAATAATAATAATAGTAATAACAATAATAATAGTAATAATAATAATAACAATGACAACAATATAACAGTAGTAATAAAAATAATAATACTAACGATAATAACAATAATTATAACACGAGATGGTTATGGTACTGATTTTTAGCACATTCTCTGCGTGCTGCTAAGAATGTGCTGAAAATGACTGTATCGGAGGCCAGGACGTCTGCTAACCGCGACAATCGTCCATTACTCGGATACATTGACTGGCCGGTTGCTTTGACCAATGCTGCATCGTCTACTGCTGCCGCTGCTATTGCTACTGCTACTGCTGCTGGCGCTGTTACCCCGTGGTATCCACGTACGAGCCCGCCAAAGTTTTTTACGGGTAAGCTGCTAACTTGGGAATCTGAGAAGCTAGAAGGCTGAAATCTTAATGGGATGTTCTCCGTTCAAGTGAGTATTAAAAAGCTCAAACCCAGGCCCCGGATAAGCATGGTACCCACGTACGGGCCCGCCAAAATTTTTTTTGGGTAAGTTCATAACTCGGGAACGTGAGACGCTAGAAGACTGGAATTTTGAAGGGATGTTTCCTGACAGTTCTGGCGGCCAGTCCGAAATTCTTTTAGCTAGAAGCATCTGCCAGAAAAACCAGTGACGTTAACGACAAAAATCTGCGGGACGCTATGCAAAAAACGCATCTTTGGATGGGGCAGTCCGTGCATTGACCAATTAGTTTTATTTGTGAACAGACTCGGACTTTTGCAGCACTAGTGCCTGTGTCGTTGGGCGAAAAACCCTTCGTCCTTTTCCCCCTCCTCCTCCCCCTGAATCCTCCCATGGCTGGTTTGTTCTTGGTCAATTGGATTTGGAGGTTTCATTTTGGCAACTCGCAGTTTTCACAAGCAGTGCAAAGACGCCGTGAAAATCGACCAATGGTTTGTGGGAAGTGCTTGGGTGTGTGGTGGCATTGGAGGAGTGTAGCTGGTGTTTATCGCGGGGTTTTTGTGGTATTTTCCGCTTCTGTCCAGTGTTGCCGTTTAACCTCCAGGGTTTTGCTGTTTGGATGATATGCATGAGAGAAAGGGGTTGGGGTGGGGATGTTGTTGATCGAGGGGTTTTTCGGTGGTGTTCCGTCTGCCTCGGCGTTTTTGTGGTTTCACTGTTTTGATAGTTTAGCTGAAAAGAGGGGGGTGGGAGTGTTGTTTGCCGTGGGATCTCCCCGGGATTTCTCAACTCCCCTGCTCAATCTTGCTCCATCGTTTCCCGGGGTTTGATGTTTCGGTGTTTCTTGCGAATATCTTCTTTTATTATCTGTGAAGCAACTGGAGCAGTTATGGGTACATTTGCGACCATATGCGGTAAATCTTTCGATTGCGAGGAGTGTTGCTGAGGTCACTTATAATGCGGGAAAATGAAGCGCAAAATGGAGGGGACCTGAGAGAGCCAATGCAGGGGTTGAAGATTTTGGTCTGTAGGGCGGTGGCTTCCCAGGATTAACCTGAAAAGGTCTTTAAAAAACGTGCTAGGGAGCGAAAGAATAAGCCGATTGTAGCAACCAGGTTGACCCGGGAAGCTCAAATGGCGAAGGCACGATAGATTACAGCATGAAAGAACAGTATGAGAAAAGAAGGTAAGAGTGAGATAAGACGTTTCGGTCCAATTAAGTGTCATATACGCCTTAACGCCGCGACAGGACCTCGTCAGTATGACTGTTGCAGTGTTTATAATGATTTTCGCGCCAAAATTTTCCGCAAATCTTGGGTATCCCGAATTCCAGCACCACGCCCTAGAGCATTTGCATACAAAAGAGCATGCTGGGAGTATCCAGTGGGGGCACCAAGGGTTGTATGGGGCTGTTGACTGTGTTTGCTGGCCTGGGATGGTGATGACGTCGTTGTTCACTGATGTGCACGCTGATTATTATAGCACCATGCTGACTGATTGTGATGTGTCAATCCGTCCCCATCGTGCCATTTTGATAACACAACGAGCCCGAAACACCAACATTGTCCGCCGTTGTTTGGATATTTCCCTGGTTGCATTTGGCCTTCAAGCTTTTTTTTGCTGAAAAATTCGCACTTGTTTTTGCCAGCCTTCTTGTCCCCCTCTGATAGCTGCTCGCGAAAATTTTTGGCGGGAAAATTGCTAACTCGGCAACCAGAAAAGCTACCCCCTCTGATAGCTGCTCGCGAAAATTTTTGGCGGGAAAATTGCTAACTCGGAGACCAGAAAAGCTAGAAAGCTGAAATTTCGAGAGGATGTTCCCTGACCAGGCGTACCACGCAGTTGTTGCACAGTTAACTTCCTGAACTTCGAAGGCCAATATGTTTGGCGGACAAACCTATCGTTTCCTATTGTTTCGCCAATTGCTGGTCTTTTCCCCCGTTGACCAATACTGCTTTTCCCAGTGGTCAGCTGCTGCCATACTGACATTTGTCGCGTCTCCTGAACGGATTTCCAACTGAGCGGTTCTCCGGACAAAACCGCTTGGCAAGGCTTTTGCCGTTTCGAGATGTCATTGGTGTGGCGTACGTATGTGTACGTGTGTGTATGTGTATTTGTATGTGTATGTATGTGTATATGCGTGTATGTGTGTGTCTGTGTATTTGCATATATGTGTCTGTTTATGTGTGTGTGTGTATTTGTATGTATGTGTGTTTGTGTATTTATATGCACTTGTATGTGTGTGTACGTATGTATGTGTGTGTGTGTGTATTTGTATGTATGTGTGTTTGTGTATTTATATGTATTTGTATGTGTGTGTACGTACGTATGTGTGTCTGTGTGTATGTGTCTGTGTACTTGAATGCGTATGTGTGTGTCTGTGTGTATGCGTGTCTGTGTACTTGTATGTGTCTGTGTGTATGCGTGCCTGTGTATTTGTATGTGTGTGTCTGTGCATGTATGTATGTGTGTGTCTGTGTTGAGCATTGCCACCTTGTTTCGAACACCTGAACTCAAGCCACAACCAGGAGAGTTAATCGTGAAATAGACGTTTTTAGCGTTTTCAGCCAGACACTTCTGAAAACATTTTCACACGATTGCTAGTTCCCTCGGTGCCAAGTGTTTTTTTTGCCGCTCATAAGGGGGTCAGGAGTTTTTTGCCTTTTTTTTTGCAGAGCCGTTGTTCGCAGGATGTCTGGTGGCTGGGGTGCATATATCAAGAATCTGATGGACTCCAGTGGAGGGATTCGCCGCGCGGCCATTATTGGTTATCCGGATGGTTCGGTTTGGGCGAGGTCAGAAGGCGAAGATGCATTCCGAGTATGCCTTTTTCCCTTTGTTTTTCTCGTTACGTATAAAAAAAATAATTGGTCAACGCACGGGCTGCTCATTCGAAAATGCGTTTTTTGCATAGTTCCCCGCAGTTTTTGTCGCTGCTGGCACTAGTTTTTCCGGCAAATGCTTCTAGCTAAACAAATTAAGGCTGGCCGCCAGAACTGTCAGGAAACACCCCCTTAAAATTTCAGCTTTCCAGTTTTCCTGACACCCGAGTTAGAAACTTACCTGAAAAAAAACTTCCACGGGTTCGCACGTGGGTACCACGCATACCCGATGTCTGGGTTTGAGCTCATTAACACATATTTGGATGGGGAATATTCCCTTAAAATTCCAATCTTCTAGCTTCTTAGGTTCCCGAGTTAACAGCTTACCCGGGCTCATACGTGGATACCACGCGTACTCGAGTGGGCTGGTTTTGAGCTCATTAATACCTGCGTGGACGGAAAACGTCCTCTTAAAATTTCAGTTTTCCAGCGTTTCTCGTTCCCGAGTTAACAGCTTGCCCGTCAAAAACTTTGGCGAGCCCGTAGTTGGGTACCACGCAGGTAAGGCAGCCCATTTTGGGGACGGGGCCCGTACATTCATGTAAATTATCTTCCCAGAGTTTCAGTTCTGTAGCTTTTGTAGGTCTCAAGATAAAAAATCGGTACAGACGAACACACAGACACACACACCCACACAGACGACCCCTCGTCAGTATGTGTTTTCTACATTGTATAGATGCAAAAAACGCATAACAAAAAATGAAAAGTGTTCGACATAATTCGTCATATGGTTATCTGATCATCTCTGATGCTCTTAAATTACTGAAGGATGAAAAAAGAAGAAAACGAAAGTTTCATTGGTTTCTGTGGTTACTATCACTTCAAGCAGTGATTTTTTTGTTGTTTTTGGTGCTGTCAGAGTTAGCACAAGCCATCGTTGACCTTGTGGTAGCCTCCCCAACTCCCTGAGGCCAGTGTTATCTTATTAATGGTAATTGATGGAGTTTCATTGTCCTGGAGGGGGAGAGGGGCTATCAACTGGCGGGATTCTTCTGGAAGGGGGGGGGGAAGCTTGTAATCGATCGTTTTTTGGTATTCTTGGCATCTCCGATCAAGCTGAGCTAACCGCTCAGTTAATTTGGAAAAGTAGGGGCTGAACCGGTACTAGGTGACTGTAACTGGGCTGTACATTAGACGGAGTCGATCCTAAATATGGTGAATCTTATCAAATTGGAAGTGGAAGAGAAATATAATAAGGTAAAAAAGATAGTGGTGTTGAATATGTACCAAAAAAAAAAAATAACGAATTAGGGAAATTGGGCTGCTATCCTTCGTTTCTTGTAATCACAGTTGTTTTGCTTTTTTCTCCTCTGGCGCTGTAGTCACCAGTAAATTGACCATCAGATGATGTAGCATCGGTCACAGTGGTTTCTCCAATTGGCTTCTTTCATAAATCGTGGTACCTTGCACATAAGGTTTCCAAATTTTTTGGTGTACAGTGACTTACACGCATTTGCTGCGCTTGTCTTTGATGCCTGCTATGAAGAAATGTGGGACTTGACCACTACTCGAAACGACAATTTTGCATAATCCGGTAGAACTACGTAGAAATCCCATAAATTCCCGTAATTCGGTAAAACTGTGTAAAAACCCCGTAAAATTCTAAGGGTATCGCAGCACCTTTAGCCAGGAGATTCAGTAATTGCGTAGCACCATATACAATAGTACTGCAGTAGTAAAGCATCATCATTGACGGATCATATCAGGAAATAACGAAGAGAAGGAGCTCGATTCGTTTTGATCGCTGCGATGAGGCTCTTTTTATGGCAGAGCGCATTGGTACTATTGATTGGTTTTCTTTTCATTGATGCTGCCTTCTTCCGACTTCCTTCAAATTTGCATTTTTTCAGTGATCGGGCATTCACCGGAAAAACGACCGGGCTTCTTGTCCCGTTTTTTTCATTACTGTTGTGGGGCCTAAGTTGGATTCGCTGCTGGTGATCGTCCTGGTTTTGGTTTTCTTGTTTCCTCCGTCCTGCTGGCAAAAATTCTTGCATTTCTGATATTCTGTTCACCATCTCAGTAATGTTTGCTTGCATACGTAACACAAGTGAAATTGTTTGCTATTTTTTGCAGGCCACAGACGAAGAGCTGAAAAAATTTGTTAGCCTTTATGACAACATCGAGAAAGTGCCATCAACTGGTTGTGATTTGGAAGGTAACTTGATTGTTTGGTTTTCTCTTAGGTGTGCTATGACTCACTGCCGACACCAGATTTGCTGTTGGTGTTCGTTTTCCTGCTTTTTTCGATTTTCCTGGGGAGCATAGTGGTTGGTTGGAATTCCGTTCATTGCCTGCTAAAATAAATTTTGATCAGTTATTCACCCTCAGCTGATTAGATCAACTGATTCTGAATTCTTTGTTTCTGGAGATATCTTTTTTGTATATAAGTATTACGATACCCTTTCTGTCGGACTCCGGCCGTTCCACATTTTGATTTTTTTGGGACCGTACACTTGTTTTTAGGACTACGATTTGGGTTTTTGACGAACGCGATTGTAGATGATGAATGCGGGACAGGTTTTGACTTTGGCCTCATACGAATAAGCAGCTCCCCCTCCTTGTTAGCCTCGACTGAAGCATCTTTTTTGCTTAATAGCACTCGTCGTTCTTGGGCTTGAAACGCACATCACCCCCCCCCCCCCCCCCCCCCCCCCCCCCCCCCCCCCCCCCCCCCCCCCCC